TAGCCATCCGCAGTTCTTTCGGTTTTCACAAAAATCTGACTTGTGCACAGCTGATGAGGGAATTTGAGGATTGCTGTCCATCTTAGAAGGGACATTGCTGACCACTGAACTTTCTGTCCTCATGCCCCTATGTTAGCTGCCATTATTTGCATTTTCTCTCCTCCGCTATTCTCTCTCTCCACTTCAAATCAGCTGGCATTCACCCTTCTGTCCTTGCAATTTATCATCCCCATCTCCAACTTTCCTTTCCCCTGCAAAGTCCCTGAACATGCTGTTTACTCTCAAATTAATGCCCATCTTTCTTGCAGCTTGCATCTTTCAGTCAGGTTTCAGCCCACACTGCAGCTGTGAAACTATGATTATCGAAGTCACAAATGACAGTCTTTGAGACCTTGATGCCCTCACTGCTTCTCTTGGCCTCTATTTGACACAGCTAACCACTCCATCTGCTTCAATGTTTCTCTGTTGCCTCTCAAATTACCTTTTCTTTGTTCCATTCTGTTATCTAGTTGTAGCCAGAAAATCATCTACAATGGCTTCTCTTTCTGTAGCATTATCTCCGTTGACCTCCCGACCCCTCCCCTCCCCATGGATTTATCATTTAAGTTCCTTATGTTTTTTGGCTGCCCCTCAACCACATTTGAAACACTGTGTTGGCTCCATGCATCTCCAGGGCTATCCAGCTATACTGCAATGTTTCCCTTACCTGTCCCTCTCCTCAGTTCATCGACAACCTCTGATTTGTCTTATCTCTTGGATAACACTGAGCAGAATTTTCTTTCATATGCAGCATTGAGAACTCTGAAGTCATTGTCTTTGGTCCTTGCCACCATCTTCTGTTTTAGTTGTCAAATCCCTCCTTAACCTTGTGTGGCCCTGCAACCTTCCAAGATCTCTATGCTTCTTTATTTTTACCTCTTGCACATCCCCTCTGATTTCAATTGCTCCATTATTGGTGCCTATCTTCAGCGACATTTACCAACTTTTTGGTCACCTGTCTTATGATCTCTTCATTTGCGTTAGCGTCAAATATTGTTTGATATTACCCTGTGAAGTGCCTTGCAACATTTTATTATGTGAACGGTGCTTGTTTGTAATGTGAGACACCAAGAAAGTAACTGAAATTCAACTTGCTCATAAGCCATGAACTCAGTTTTAAATTTTGTCCTTTTGTGGACGTTCTTGCTTTACGTTCTGTAAGTTTTTAAAAACTCTGTCCAAATATCTTCCTCAGGATTTCAGCGTTGCCATCTACAAACATCTCTATGATCTGAAGGAAAACCTGATGTGGATTTCCACAGATAGACTGGACCTGAAGCTGCTTGGTTGTGACATTGATGCTGACCTGATTCGAAGAGCCACTGAATCCAATTCCTTTCCTGAATCCATTTCATATGTTACTTTGGATGTTATGGACTCTGCTTCCCGCGAGGCTATATTAAAACCTTACTTGGACAAATTCCACCATACTACTTTTGATATTTGCTTTTGTATGTCTGTGACAATGTGGATCCATCTCAATCACGGTGACCAAGGGCTACTGGATTTTCTCCTGTGTGTATCAGGACTTTGCAAGGCTTTACTGATTGAACCACAACCCTGGAAGTGCTACCGAGCTGCGGCCCGTAGGTTGCGCAAGCTGGGCAAAAGCAGATTTAACCACTTCAGCACACTCTCTATTAAAGGGGACGTGGCCCAGAAGATTCAGCAGTTCCTGATAACTGATTGCAAGATGGAACTAGTCCGGTGTTTTGGGAGCACCAACTGGGACAGGAGTTTATTGCTTTTTAAAAAACGGTCCTTGAGCCAAGAATGAATAAGCTAAATATTTCTAGTGTAGTCATCAGTTAGTCACAAAGCATTTTATTTTGCAATCAAAATTAAAATCTTTTATCAAGCTACATTAAATAGTCTGTTTTTAATGGTCCTGGCTGAATTTATTATTGATGAAGCTGAGAATTGTCACTGGTATGCAAAGTGCACATGCCAGAAATCTGGAAAGAAAACAGTCCTGGCATCAGTGGTGAAAGAAGCAGTTAATGTTCTGAGTCCAACAAGACTCCTTGGTTCACAACAATCATATTGGACTCAACGTTAACTCTGTTTCTCTGCAGATGATGTGAAACCTGCTGAATTTCTGTAAAACTTGATTTATTTCACCTTCACTGGTTCAAGTGTCACATGCTCCAGCTTAGTGAGAGTGCTGTCCAGCCATACTGCAATGTTTTTCTTGTATTAACCCATAAAATTAACTTCCCACAGCCCAACTCCTGATCAGCTTCACAAGTTTATCTTCCTTGCATCAGTGTTGCTTTTGTTTTGCTGACCAACACTTCTGTATGTGAGAGAGACACTGCAGTGTAGATTGGAATTACAGAAATGAGATGTAATTTTATATTTTGGGATTTACGCCTATTGTTTTCATTCCAGCTGTCAGTAATACTGGAGAAATCAGATCCACATTGAAAATTGGTTTGACAGGTCACATTTAATTTTTTAGTTAGTTGACATGGTGGGTAGTTACTGAAATGTATTCATGTGGTATTACAGATGTTCTTTAGCATCAGAATACAAGTTTATTACTCAGAATAGAAAATAAACCAAAAGTTAAAGGCAGACAATTTCAAAAGCTCTTAGCATAAAGTATCAATCTGTTTTACAACCTAATCCGTTACAGAGACTTCAGTCCAGAAAAACTAAATTGCTACGTCAACTCTTTAAAGTATTTATTGGATTGACTCCTTTCAGTTTCTCTTCATGGACTTTTTGCTTTCTTGGTTTGCAGGTATGAACAGTTCACAATTCTGAGGCCTAAACATTTTCAGTTCTAACAACTTGAACTCTCTATCCAAGCCCTCCTGGCTTAGAAGGGCCACAGAAAAGAAATCACTTCTGCTGAGGTGCCTGGATCTCCTAAACTGAACTGAACTGGAAAGAACTTGATTCCTTTGCTATTCCACTTTCTGGACTGAAGTAATAACAAAGCTAGCTTTGTTCTGTTTGCTCTTGTGATAAACCCAACAGTATAAACATTTTATCAATTAACACCACAGGGGATCTGATGTACATAGGTCACTCTCTAAATTACTTTGATTTTTTTTTTTAAAATCTGTCAGAACTGACCAAAAATCAACTTGACTCTACTTTAAAATCTAACTTCCAAAAATGATGTTTAGATATCAATACATATAATACACATTTTATCTCACTATGTTCCTTGGTTCCAGACTCCTCAACCATTGGAAAAATATTACTTCCCAAATTTTCCCTTTCATGGATATTAGCTGGTCTAGAATTATCTGGGTTAGCGCTTCTTTGGAAAATAGATACTACATTGGTCAATTCTCCGGTCCTGTTGCCCACATTCACTTTTCATAGAACCCTGAAATATAATATCCATGGGTTTAGCTATTTCCTCTTCTATGTCCCCGTGGCATTATCCCAATAATTCCTGGCACTTTTATCCTCTTTCAGCCAAACTAAATTTTTTTTATTTAGCATTTCCCCTTTTAACTGGTTTGGGCTTGGCCTCCTGTCTCATACTATTATTTGTAAACACTGAAGTCAAGGTTATTTTAAAGTATTACTGTTGATTTCTTGCTTAACCTCCACAAACGTGCTCTCTTTTTTTTATTACTGATGTTTCTGCAATATTATGTGGTGAACATTTGGGGATTCTTTTTCTGATCCCTTTCCATTTTGCTTTCTAGACCTTACTTTCCTCATTTTTATCCTATCTAAGGCATTCTGAAACCTAAATTCGTCTCCCTTTTTTTACAATATATTTATTCTGCAACTTTCCAACCATTTTAAGAATATTCCATTGTTGATCTGCAAGCCTGAGTGTCACTATTGTTTTCCACTTCCCCTCAGTGAGCCTACTTCTCCTTTATAAAATCTGGCCTTTTCCAAACCTTTGTATTTTGTTCCCTTTCCACTTGGATCATAAACTACTCCTTACATGCTTCCTTACTCTTTTTACTTGTAGCAGCACTAAAATAAAACAAAGAGCTTTGGATGCTGAAGAGCTGAAACATAAACCGAAATTGCTGGCAAAACTCAGCAGGCCTGGCTGCATCTGTGAAGAGCAAACAGTTAACATTGCAACCTGGTGATTCTTCGTCACAACTGATAATAGCTAGGAAAAAATAGTATTTATGCTGAAGATGAGATTGGGGGCAAGAGGTGAGCAACACTTCTTGTTGGTGGGGGTTGAATCTCGCAACATTTCTTGTCAGCATGTGGGCACAATGCCTGAGGAAGGCATCATCCTCCACAAATTTTAGAAATTACACTTTCTTTTCCTTTACTCCCAATCCCAACCAATGAGCAGATAATTAAAGTCTTTCAAAACAGTAATGTTCCAACTCCTCTTGATCTGGCTCCAAATTTCTCACCCATAATCTGTGGCCCTTGAACAATCCCAACTAAGATAACCATCCCTTTGTATCTTTTGATCTTTAGTGTACATCTCTCTATAATTGGCACTCCTCTCTAAATCAGAAGATTATAGATTCAAGTCTTACTGGAACCAGTTGAGCACAGAAGCCTAGGTTGACACTGCTGTGCCCTATAGGAGTGCTGCACTGCTGAAGATGCTGTCTTTTGAATGAGATGATAAACTAAGGCTCCATCTGCCTTTTTGGATGGAAACTAAAGTTCAGTCAAAGATGGGCAAAAACTTCTGAGCAAAAGAAGTTCTGAGCAATGTTTTTACTCCAATCAACGTTAGATAGAAGCACATTATCTATTCAGTTTACCTGTTGCTATTTGTGGGGTAAGAACTTCCATTTATATCACACCATCAATGTAGTAAAACATTCTAAGATGCTTAATTGGATGAAGCTTTACAAAAGCAACATTAAATTACCATAGGTTCAATCAAAGAGATTTTAAGGAGCATCTGAAAAGAAGAAAGAGCAGTAGGCTGGTTTAGCGAGGGAGTTCCAGAGTTTGGGACCTAGTCAGCTGAAGGTATGGCTGTCAGTGGTGGGATAAAGTATATCTTGGATGTTTGAAAGGACAGTCTTAGAGAATTTAACATTCTTGATAGGTTATAGAGCTAGAGGAGGTCACTGAGGGATTGAAGAGGCCAGGAGGGCTTTGAAGATAGGGATGAGAATTTTAAATTTGAGGTATTGGTGGACCGGGAGCCAATATTATTCAGCAAGCAAGGAAATAATGGGTGATTAGGGGCTTAGTGCAAATTGGGATACAAACAGCAGAGGTTTGGATGAGTTGAGGTTGAAAGGTGGGAGCCTGGTTGGGAAATTATTGGAACAGTCAGGTCTTGAGGTAACAATGGTATGGTTGAGGGTTTCAGCAGTAAATAACATCAGGCAGTGGAGAAATGGATGATATTGCAGAGCTGGTACTAAGTGGTCTTATGTAACGAAAGGATATGGAGTCAAAACCCAGGATGATGAAGTTATGAGTAGTGTGGTTTAGGAAGAAGGCAGGAGTCAGACTAGCAAATGAAATCTGAAACCATTCTGTGTACAAATGGTTTTCTATGTTTCTCTACACACTGTGGTAAATGTATTTATTTGCCTGTGAAGAATTTTGGAATATCCTGCAGTTATGAAAGGTGCTTTTGTAAGTTCAGTGGACGGATGGAAGATTACACAAAGTTACCTGCACCTTAAGCAAGCCTCGTAATATGTTGGGTAAACAGCATCCCAACTAGATGTACCCAAGTCTGTAATCTTTCAGCCATGTAACTCTCTGGATGTTGATAGTGGGGGATTCAGTGATGTAGCATCATTGAATGTCAAGGAGCAATGGTTAGATTGTCTCTTGCTGGTGATGGTCATAGCCTGGCATTTGTGTGGCACAAATGTTACCTGCCACTTGTGAGCCCAAGCCTGGATATTGTTCAGATCTTGTTGCATTTGAACATGGACTGCTTCAGTATCCGAAGAGTCGTAAATAGTGCTGAACATTGTGCAATCATCAGCAAACATCCCCACTTCTGACCTTATGATAGAGGGAAAGTCATCGATGAAGCAGCTGAAGATGATTGGGCTTAGGGCACTATCCTGAGGAGCTCCTGCAGAGATATCCTGGAGCTGAGATGATTGACCTACAACAACCACGAACATCTTCCTATGTGGCAGGTATGACTTCAACCAGTGGAGAGTTTGTCCCCTAACAATGATACTCATTGATTCCAGTTTTGCTGGGGCTCCTTGATGCCACACTTGGTTGATTGCAGCCTTGATGTCAAGGGCTGCCACTCTCACTTCACCTCTGGAATTCAGCTCTTTTGTTTCTGTTTGAACCAAGGCTGTAATGAGGTCAGGAGCTGAGTGGCCTTGGTGGAACCCAAACTGGGCATCAATAAGCAGGTTATTGCTGAGCAGATGCTGCTTGATAGCACTGTTGATGACACTTTCCATCACTTTACTGATGATTAAGAGTAGACTGATGGTGTGGTAATTGGCTGGGGTCGATTTGTCCTGCTTTTTATGTACAGACCATACCTGGCCAATTTTTACATTGTTGGGTAGATACCAGTGTCATGACTGTACTGGAAGAGCTTGGCTAGGGGAGTGGCAAGTTCTGGAGTACAAGTCTTCAGCACTATTGCGAGAATGTTGTCAGACCCCATAGTCTTTGCAGTATCCAGTGTCTCTAACCGTTTCTTGCTATCACGTGGAGTGAATCGATTTGGCTGAAGACTGGTATCTGTAATGCTGGGGACCACTGGAAGAGGCTGAGATGGATCATCCACTCAGCACTTCTGGCTGAAGATTGCTGTGAATGCTTCAATCTGCAGGCCAGACTGGTAAGGATGAGGTGAATAAAAACCAAAAGAACTGCAGATGCTGTAAATCTGGAACAAAAACAGAAGTTGCTGGAAAAGCTCAGCAGGTCTGGCAGCATCTGTGAAGAAAAAAAT